CGAAGAACCTGCAAGTTGTACTCAGTAGGATAGGCTTTGCTGCTAGAGTTCTCTTCTTTTCCTCGATGGCTGGCATCAACTCCTCATTGGGCTTCAAACCAGTCTGCCGTCTTCTTGCCAAATGTGGACAAGGAGGTGTTATAAACAGCATTCTTGAAATGTTACCATCGTTCAGGTGCATTTACACTAATCGGGCCTGGAAGAGTTTCATGAAGCGCTTGAGCAAATTCCTCCACTTTTCTCTGATCGCGAGTCTTGCTGATGTCAATACGTGGTCTTCCTTCCTTTTTAGTGTGATACAATCTCTTTATTTGCAGTTTTACTCTGCTACACACCAGGGAGTGATCGGTATCGCAATCAGCACCCTGATAACTGTGTGTGATCATAATACTAGGAAGGTTAGAGCATCTAGTGAGGATCAAATTGTGCCGATGCCAATGCTTCGATCTTGGATGTCTCCAAGAGAGTCTGTGTTGAAGCTTCATATTTTAAAGAACTGTTGCTGACACAAAGACCATAATAACAGCAAAACTCCAGCAAGCATTGGCCATTTCTGTTCATCTTCCAAAGCAGCCTAGACAAGTGGGCCAAGAATTGTGATCAGCAGCAACTCGAGCTTTAAAGTCTCTGATAATGAACAATGGCTCTCAATCCAGGATTTTTTTGATAGCAGCTGCCAGATCGTCATAGAATTTTTCTTTGACTTCTGCTGTAGACAACAGTGTTGGTGAATACGCACTAATAAGGGTGACCTGTCTTGCTGATGAATGGAGATGCAGAGACAGTATTCTTTCACTTCCCACAGTAGGTGGAACAATGGATCTCAGCAGAGTATTTCTAGCAGTAAAACCGACACCATATTCCCTGGTTTCATTCAATGGTTTTCCCTGCCAGAAGAATGTGACATTTTTTTCTTTGACAAATCCTATGTCTGGTAGTCTCGTCTCTTGAGGGGCAACAATGTCTATCTGCAGCCCACTCAGTTCCATGTTGATGAAGCTGTCCTGTGCGCATCGTCTATTTCCTGCAGGTCGTCAGAAAAGCCAGGGGTCATTGTACAAGCATTCCAGATGCCCAACTTCAGCATGGATGTTTTCTTATGATTACTGCATGGTGCAGGGTTATTGATCTGCTTGTCAGCTTTCACCCTAAACCCCACTCACCCGTTCAGGTTAACAGACTGTGGCGAGGTAGCACCTTACTGGCTCGGGGCTGCCCAGCTTAAGGCAGCGGTAGCTACCTAGTGAGGTACAAGGACCTCTCCCACTGTCAGAACTAGCCCCTGGTGTCATGCTCTACGCCAATCAAGCAAGGACATATAACTGCTAACTGCCACTTCCCGTGTTGTTTTAACGCTCTATATATAGCTGGAGTGTCCTCTCCAGAGCCTGAAGCCTTGGTAAAATAATATGGAGGACAGACTGTTACCCAAGCAGCAGATCCCCCCTCTCCACATCACTGAAATAGTCCAATGGAAAAGCAAGAGCCAATGCAACTGTTTCCAGCAACGTTGCAGGAGTTGCCAGAACAACACGAACTGCCTCCGGGACTCTGGCTTCAGATTTTGCCTTGAGGTTAACTCCTGAAGCCTTTTCCATCAGTGGATGTAGCCACAAGGCAGTGGCGGTTTGAAATCAGAGGTTTCCTTCCTCTAGATGGGCTCCCTTCCAATGCTAACGAGCCCCACCTACCTGGGTGCATAGATTACTGTGCTTTTTGGGCACAGAAAGGAGTATAAAAGGGGTTGAAAAGGAAAGGGAGAGGAAAGGAGCCTGGAAGGGCCAGAGATGGAAAAGGAGAGGAAGGAGTTTGGAAGGGGCAGAGATAGAAGGGGAGAGGAAACTGAAATGCACCAGAAAAAGGCGAAATGAAGAGTGGTCGGGGTGGTGGTGGGACACCTTCCCTCACCTTTATATTGAACACTTATGAATACTCTCTCCAAGTCTTGTTTTAAATTGTTGTTTTGCTGATGCAGTAGCAGTTTTTAAGAAAAACATTACATTCTGCTACCATAGCAAATCTAGTATCAGGTAGGTTAGGATACTAGTGAGAGGGCACAAAAATGTTCAAGTGCGACTTGGATTGTGATATTTGCCACTATCCAGGTAGTAAATGATAGGTGATAGGTTTCCGGATGCAGGGACATTTCAGAACGCCTCAAGTGGTATCATGGGTTTTCCTCAGTAAATACACGTCGTCGTCATTTAGTCGTGTCCGACTCTTCGTGACCCCATGGACCAGAGCACACCAGGCCCTCCTATCTTCCACTGCCTCCCAGTAAATACACAGTCACATGTAAAGCCTTATTTCCCAGGTTCATATAAACGGAACTGCTTTTTAAATGCCAGTATTGTTTCTCAGGCAATGAGAGAAGGAGTCTTGTCCCATAGACCTCTGCAGACCTCGTAGCCTGCTTTTGCTGCTCCCACCTGTGGTGTGTGGGCAGAAGGCAAATGAGAATATTATTTGCTAAGTTTGCTTGTTGTTTTGCTACCCCAGCCTGTTGAATATATGTTTGGGGTAAATCTAGTTCTTAAAACTACCACACAATAACCTAGTTCTCAAGAGCACAAACCTCAGAGCAATTTTTTTGGGGGGGGGTAATGGATCATAAATGTTTCATTTGATCAAGTTCTGTTGATCTGTTACACAAAAGGCATAACTTTTGGAGGCAAATTGCCTAAAGATGGGGGGAAGGGGGTAATGGAAGTTTTCCTGAGCATTGATCATAAATGCTTCATTTGATCAAGTTCTGTTGATCTGTTACACAAAAGGCATAACTTTTGGAGGCAAATTGCCTAAAGATAAGAAATCTCCATAAGACAATATGCATTGCACAGCAAAGTTGTGTGACTCAGTATGCAGTGTAGATGATACATGCAGAGATTTCTTAACTTGAGGCAGTCCCCGCTTCCAAAAGTAACGTTTTGTGGAACAAGAAAGAAGGATTTTGGGCATAGTCCCTAGACTTTTGAGACCTTCGATTTTTACTGAAAGAGCAGGCGAAAGCAAAATAGTCAAGCTAAGAAAGCAAACTCAGATGAAATGGGCTTTCTGCATGGACTAATCATGCTTATAGAAGTCTTTGTGCCTCCAGTTAGCAAACCTGCAGGCATGAAGCTCTCAGCTTTTCCTGAGCAATCTTCCATCATTCGTTGCAAGCACTTTCTCTCCCTGCCGTTGTTTTAAAACTGAAAATTACTTCATGGTGTGATTAGGGGATAATGACTCTTGTGACAAGTTTCGTAACATGATAAAATGACTGCACGTGCACAGAGATTTACGCTGTCAGCTTCTGGGATTCTGATTCCTTTCAGCTGTGATCATTCTCCCCGCCGTGTTCTCAGTTTCTAAGAGACGGTGGTTACAGGCCGGGCCACAGAAGCAAAATGCTAGGTGCTGGAGGACCAGAACAGGTTTCCCTGTCTCCGGTGTGCTGCTAATGCCTGAGACAAAACTTCTCATTCAGCAGTCAGACTTCTTAGTAGACAACGCTCCCTGTTACATTTCCTGTATCTTGCAATGCCATTGTAATGAACTGGTGGCTCTCTCTAGTGAAAAAGGATTTAAACAAGACAGTGGGTATGCTGATATCTAGATAATGAACATGAAAATTACTTTCATGACTCCCATTAGGTTTTTCTTGTTATTATTGTTCTTGGTGTTCATTTGGCATTCAGATACGTTTGCCAAGCAGAAAATTCTGTTCAAAATTTCACAGGATGCTTAACATGAGTTATTAGGAGAATGGTGAAACAGGCTCTTGATCTGCATGGAAACACTCTTGAAAAAGCAAAAGCAGTTGAAATTACTTTTGAAAAAGAAAGTAACTCATTACTTCATTGTTTGTTGGAAGGGAAAAAAACCTGTTACTCATGAGTGGCACATTGTTTTTAAAGTGGTTTTTTAAAATCATTTTTAAAATGGGGAACAAATTCCATTCTCCTGAATGATCCCCTAATAATGTTTTAAGGTGACAATGTTTGAAGTAAGAAATGGATGCTATTTGTGTTTTGTTTTGTTTTGTTTATCTGTGGCCAGGCTTCTATTGGTTATAGTTGCCTAAGGGAAATCACATAATTCTCAGTGACAGGTTACCACTCATAAACAATTCACTGAGAGCATTCCTGTCTGCATGTCTCATTGTGTGATAAGGTGCACTTTCAGAAACACAACCAGCACCTTGTTAAAAAGCAAAAACTTACCACCAAGACTTAAGCAACTTCCAACCCACAAAAGCAAATTGCCAGTGCATCTGTAAACGCATGTGTACCTGAATGCAATGATGGTGTTAAAAAGCTTTAAAGTAAAGACTTCAACCTTCCTCACTCAGAAGTAATAATAAGATTCAGTGTAACTTCTTGCATGTTATTCCAAACCCTACCGCAGTCATTCCCAGATGTTGTGCTAAATCTCCCAGAAGCCTTCACTACTACCTGTGCTGGCCAGGATTTTGGGGAGCTGTAGTCCCAAGACCATCTATGGGCCCAGGGTTAGGAACCTCTGATCTACAGAGAAGTTTAAGCTGCATTAGGTTGTAGTCCCAAGACCATCTGGGGGGCCAGGGTTAGGAACCGCTGATCTACAGAGAAGTTTAAGCTGCATTAAACTTTTTAGGCTTTACAGTATCTCTGGACACTCTGCTCTAGTAAGACAGACTAAGAGCCCTTTTTTTCTCACAATCAGTGACTGCATGTTTCTTAACCCGACCAGCAAAATGTGTCAAAACAACCTGTGAAACTATGGATAGACCAAGAAAGTGTTTCTTCCATTAATTAAAAGATAGAGAGAAAGAAAACAAATTGTGCTGTTATTAACTGCATGAATTTTCCTCCCAAATGAGGGAACTTTATATTAACTGCTGTTATATATTTGCTTTAAGTAAAGAATGATGTAGAGTTGTGGAAATCATTATGGGAAAATGGTGGTGGTAAGGGGACAGGCTAAATCTGCAAGCAAAAATAGAACATTTTGAAGAAATCATATTCGTTTGTTTCTAGAATTACCTGCTGGCTGGGAAAAGATTGAAGATCCTGTATACGGTGTCTACTATGTAGAGTAAGTACACAATACAGTATGGACGGATGTGTATGTTCCAGAACACGTTATAGATGAATAAGCTCCACCACTGTGGAAATCCGTTTGAACTGCACATTTGCTGTTGGAAAACTAGCTGCCTTGATTGCTTTCTCATTAATGTAATGTAGTACTATGTCTTGATCTGCAGCTAGCAGTAGATTTGCTCTTTTTATAGCTGCCGAGAGAGAAGCCAGAGTATGTACAAGAAACAGTGCTCTTGTGCTCCCCCTTGTGGTCTTTGCAGGAGATATCATCATTTCAGCCTGTGAGATAGGAATTCCATTTTCTCTGCAAAGAGAGGACTTTACTTTTTCTGCCTGTTAAAATAAAAATGTATTGTGCTGTATGCTGGACATAAAAAGTGTAAGAAACGAATTTCTGGAAGATGATGGGTATAGATTTCATTATTAAAAAGTGAGAGTTTTTTTTTTTTTAATGGCAGTTCAGAAATATATGGCTTACTATGAAAAGCTGAGGCAAAAGATTTGCAGGTGCTCCATCTGGATATTCTTAAAAACTGGCATTCCAGTACATAGCATTCATTTTGACTCTTCTTTTGGATCAAGGTTGCTGGTTTTCATCACGGCCAAAACAGCTCCTGTGAAACCGAGCAATTATGAATCTTTGAATCTGTGAAATAGCAAAAATACATGAAAATGCCTATTAGCTACAACGTCTCCTGCAGTACAAGATCTCCTATGACTAGCCTTCAGCACATAGTTGTTTCAGTTGTATGCTTGGACTGTGTCAATGCTAACCTGGAATAACTGTTTCAGCATCTCTTTTCTAATGTATGCCATTGTTAAGTCAAATGGTGTAAATGCCACTAAATTGTCACTAGTTAAGGAGTTAACACTTGTATGCCTCGTCATGCACCCTTTGAGTGACCTAGCATGCAACAGTGGATGCTTAGCTAATGGTAACAGCTCAGTGGTTTACGTATATGGCTGTGGAGCAGATACCCCACTGTGCCTCCCTGACGGGACGGACTTGATGATCCATAGAGTCCCTTCCAGTTCTGCAGTTTTCAGATATAATTTGCTGCTGAGATTTACACCATCTGACTTACATTGATATTAGTGAGTACAGTGGTGCCTCGCATAGCGAGATTAATCCATTCTGGATTAACCTTCGCTATGTGAAAACTTCGTTAAACGGAAAGTAAAAAGCCAAATCGGCTAAAAACTCACCGTTTAGCAAAGTTTCCTGGGTCCGGCAGCCATTTTCGCGCCCTCGGTAAGCGAGGGGAGGGCACGAAAACGCTGCGCGCGGCCATTTCTGGCGTCTGGCGGCCATTTTGGAACCGCCGAACAGCTGATCCGCGGCGTCGCAAAGCTAAGATCGGTAAGCGAAACGCTTACCGATCTTTGCTATGTGAGTTTCGCCCATTGGGGCCAACGTGATGCCTCCACATTAGCGATCCCGGAAAAGGGATCACTATGCGGATTTGTTGCTATACGAGGCGCTTGTTATGCGAGGCACCACTGTATACAATTCTGGCCACTGACACATGCTTTGTAGCATGAACTAAGCACAATGGGTTGTGTGAATCCTTGCATTAAGATTACAAGAGGAAAGAATTCAGGGTTTGCCTGTAGCCTTTATTTGGTTTCTCCTTTAAAGCTCCAGCTGCCCTGTTCTTCACAAAGTTTCTTCTGCTTTGACATCCTTCACAAACCTCTGCCTAAAAACTGGATTGGTACTCACTGGTACAAGTACTGAAGAAGTGTAGAAGATGAGAGCGTAATATGGCTTATCAGGACAAACCAGGTCCTTTTCACCTGCCTTTTTAAGGATCCATCACTGGACTCATCAGTCCTTCTAATTAACTTTATTGATTCAGCCTCCTCCTTGTCACAAAAAGGTGTTTCAATGTTTGAAGATGTGTTAGTGCAACTTTAGAACAAAGATAAAACTTTATCCCATAATTCCATCATTTTTGGAAGCAAGCATTAAGACTCATTCTTAGGATCAGTTCTTAGGAGCCATTCACAATATAAAATTTTAAGATGGAATTTTAAAAGAATGATCTTCACTAGATAAGACTTGTGGCCAGTGCGAATATTTGGGGTGTGCCATACAGATATTTTTTTCTCTACCTGTCAGACCCATCTTTACAGACACCTAAACTTTGCTCACCTGTAGAAGCATCTGACTCAAAGGCTACATGGTATAGCTGTGGTCTAGCTTCCTGTTAAAAAAGGAAGATGCCCCAGGGCTAGCTGGGAGACTCCTATGCATTAGCCATGGTCTCTTTAGGATAATAAAATACTTGGCAAGGTTAGTACTGTGTATACTGGGCTTTATTTGAGTTTCTGATATTCTCTCTTACTTCCTTTTCCCCTTAAATGTTATGTCTAATATAATGCTGTACAGCTGGAAAATTTAAAAAACAAATACAGACACTGACATTTCATGTATGCAAGGACATCTTGTCTGTCCAGAGTTGGACATGGATCTCACATAAATTTTTTTTTTAAAAAAGTACAAGAAATTCAGGCTAATTGGTTGTTTCCCCATCAATAAAAAAGGGTCAGCATAATCTGGGATGAAATAAATGGTTCTAGGGTTTATCGCTCATCCTGGTAAGGTTGGAGAAATCTTGCTAGGCCTTTAGTGACAAGTGAGCTCTCAGCATTCAGTGAATTGGAGCGAGCCCTGTTGCCCATGCCCAATGGGAATTCAGAAAATGATTCATTCACATTGTTTTGGCTCAGCAGGCTAATGTTGTTTTCCCAAATGTAGTGTCCTCCCCCCTCCTGTTAGCTTTGTAAGGTAAAGGTAAAGGTTCCCCTTGACATTTTTAGTCCAGTCGTGACCGACTCTAGGGGGCGGTGCTCATCCTGTTTTTCAAGCTGTAGAGCCAGGGCTTGCCCGAAGACAGTTTCCGTTGTCACGTGGCCAGCGTGACTAGGGAGCGCCGTTTTACCTTCCCACCGAGGTGGTACCTATTTATCTACTCGCATTTACATGCTTTCGAACTGCTAGGTTGGCGAGGAGCTGGGACAAAGTGACAGGAGCTCACTCCATTGAGTGGATTCGATCTTACGACTGCTGGTCTTCTGACCTTGCAGTACAGAGGCTTCTGTGGTTTAGCCCACAGGCTAAGCCAAAAAAAGAGAAAAGAAACACATCACACCCAGATTCCGAGTGCATTACTGTGGTCTGATAATAGTTCTTTTGTTTATATATTCCATAACTGCAACAAAGACTGCAGTAACAATGGACAAGACTGTAGATTTTACCTTTTGCTCAAGATTTGTATTTAAAAGACTTAATGGGTGTAAACAATGCATAGGCAGGTACATGGGCATATAAATGGAAGCACTCACCATTTCATGATAAGGAAATCTGAACTGCTCAAAGGGCTGCCTCTTTTGCTGAGGAAATACAGCTTTGTTTCTCATCCACAGCATGACGCCAACATCCATAGCAAGCACAGTAATACTGATGCTGTGTTTAGAGCCATGGGCAGTGTCTCAAGAGACAAGCCCCCGATCCTTTCCTCTTATATGCTACTATGATTACAAGGTTGCATATACAGTGTTGGCTCGCAAGACGAAATTAATCCATTCCACGGTGAATGCCATCCAGTGAAAATTTCGTCTTGTGAAGCACGCTTTCCCATAGGGATGCATTGAAATTTAATTAATGCGTTCCTATGGAGGGGGGAAAGTCAGAAACAAACATTTTTTTAAAAAGTCATTTACCAGGTACGCTAGACTGAGCCTGGCTCCTCACAGTGGCTTAGTAGCCCCCGAAAAGCCGGAAAAAGAGTGACAAAGAGCCAAGAGCCCGGACCCAGCAGGGAGGCAGCAGCCATTTTGTGCTCTTCTCCGCTCCCTCCCTGCCTCACAGCTGATCGGCACTGGGTTTTAAGGCTTCCCCCCGGCTTGCCCAGTACCGGAAAAGGCAGGGAAAAAGAGTTGGAAATTTAAAAAGGTGCTTTCCCCCTGCCCCTGGGGAAGCCTCTGAAATTGGCACTTTGCCATGGGGTGGGTGGGGAGGTGAGCCTGCCCCCCACATCCCTTCCCTGCCCCAGCGCCACTTTCAAAGGTCCCCCACCAGTCCTCCGATGGTGCTGGGAAGACTGGCGGGGGACCTCTGAAAGCAGCTCTGGGGGCGAGGTGGGCAAGCCTGCCCCCTTCCCCCCCAATGGCAAAGCGCCACTTTCAGAAGCCTCCCAGGGCTTCGTCTTGAGAAGCAGTGCCATAGGAACATTCATTTTGCGTGGCACCAAAACCCTAGCCAGGCACATTCATCTAGCGGGTTTTTCATGCGGCGAAGCGTTCGTCTTGCAAGGCACCACTGTATGTCTTAAATTGTGCTACATACCTGGGCTCCTGTCAACAGGTTCCCATCTCATAACTTTGCAGTGTCCAATTGTTTTCAGCAGAACAGTCCTAGACCTGACTGGAGTTTGATTTTGTTTCCTGCTCCTGGGTCAGCCTGGCATGAATCATTTAGGCAGTGTCCGCCTGGTTTTGGCAAGGGTTCATTGAAAACAGTGAAGCTGTGCATTTAGGCACGCCTTGTTTTGGCAAGGGTTCATTGAAAACAGTGAAGCTGTGGATACTTTAAAGGGTATCATACAGAGGAGGAGCAGGATCTGTTCTCATTCATTCCAGATTGCAGGACAGGACACGGTGGGCTCAAGTTATAGGAAGCCAGATTTCGGTTGCTATCAGAAAAAACGTCATATCAAAGCAGTACAGCAATAGAACGAATTACCTTGGGAGGTGGTGAATGCTCCAACACTGGAGAGGCAATCAAGAGAAACTTAAACAACAACCTGGCAGATATCCTTTGATTTGTATTCCTGCATAGAGCAGGGGATTGGATTTGGTGGCCCTATAAGTTTTTATCTCTTTCATTAGCTCCAGTTCTAATGACATACCAGCTTTTCTTTTATAGATTCATCCTTAGAATCCCCAAATCTTTGTGCTGAATGTTCAGAGGTCGGCCGCAGAGCTTCATGATTCTATGATTCTATGTAAATTAGGGGTCCCTATAGAAATGTTGCATTTACAATCCTTAGGTTATAATAAAAGTATAACTTGGTTTTCAAAAGAGGGTTAACTTGGAAATAACAGAGTTAATTTGCGTAGTCTGTTTTTCCAATTTTTTTTAAAAAAATAACCTTCATGTATTCCGTAGTTATAGGATAAAGTTTGGAGGCAATGCATGCTAATTTTATAAGCTCTCTGCTGAAGTTTCGCTTTGTATATGCATCACATTTGTGGTGTTTTAGTTAAACCTCTGAGCAGGTAGCTTTTACAAAGATTTATTGTAGCACACTAAGTAGTTTGCATGTGCAGTGGTAACCCAGCATGTTGATCAGATATCATTGAGATATCTGCTCTTCTAAATTCCCCTGAGCCAAAGAGTGGCTGCATCTCTGAGAATCAAATTACCATAGGTAGGAGACCAGACAAAGCATTCCTCCTGCTTTAATCTCATTGTTCACAGATAAACTGCTACTTAGATTATTTGTAAGAATTAGTCGTACATCTTCAAGATGTCATGCTAGATAAGCTACTACTTGGCTTAGTGTCTGTTTCTAAGATCAGTATTTTAGACTAACACACAGTAGCCTATATTTTCGAAGGCTTTCATGGCCGGGATCTGATGGTTGTTGTGGGTTTTTCGGGCTCTTTTGCCGTGTTCTGAAGGTTGTTCTTCCTAATGTTTCGCCAGTCTCTGTGGCCGGCATCTTCAGAGGACAGGAGTCAGAACGCTGTCTGTTCTCTGGTGCAGTTTATTTTGATAGTTGACTATTCATAGCTGTGGGATCAGCTTTTGTCCTTTTCAGGAGATGGGTGATTGTGGTGATCAGTGTGTTTTTTGTTGTTGGTGTATTGCTGCGATAAGAGGGAGAGATTATCTGTCACTGTGATTGATGGGGGTCATTAGCTGGTCTTTTGAGTGCAGTGATCACCGATCCTTGTAGCTAGGTAGAGTTCGTTGACTTTTTGCAGGCTGTATTTTTCAGTGCTGGGAGTTTTAAACTTTCTTTTTTTTTTTGAAACTCTGCTGGTGTTTGTGGATTTCAGTGGCTTCCCTGTGCAGTCTAACATAATGATTGTTGGTGTTGTGCAGTACTTCAGTATTTTGAAATAGAATTTCGTGTCCAGGTTGTTTTAGGGCATGTTCAGCTACTGCCGATTTTTCCGGTTGTTTTAGTCTGCAGTGTATCTCATGTTCTTTGATTCTGGAGCGGATGCTGCATGTTGTGGTTCCAATGTATACCTGACCACAACTGCAAAGTATCCATTGTCCAGTACTTCAAAATACTGAAGTACTGGACAATACCAGCAATCATTATGTTAGACTGCACAGGGAAGCCATTGAAAAAGCCTGAAAGAGCCAAAGAGCCCGAAAAACCCACAACAACCAACATAGTAGTCTCCTGGAACTTGCATTAAGGCCTTTTTCTTTTGAAACTTCATTGTTCCTTATGAAGAACAACTTTTCTTTTCAGCCACATCAACAGGAAAACACAATATGAGAATCCAGTTCTCGAAGCTAAACGGAAGAAACAACTTGAGCAGCAGCAACAGCAACAGCAGCAACCACCACCACAACCACCACAACCAGCCGAAGGTAAAAATTTCTCATCTCAGTAAGAATCCTGAGGACTGAAATATTTGCTAAACATCAAATGTTCTGCCTTAATTCTGTAATAGCCTAATTTCCTGCTAGGCCAGGGGTCTCCAAACTTTTGACCGTGAGGGCCATACCAGATATTTTCAACATATTTGAGGGCTGAAGGAAGAGGGACGTGTGTGCATCTGCATGCATACAACCCCCTTCCCACACAGATGCCTGCTCCTGCCGCCCACCTGCCCATGTGGGCTGAAAGGAATGGGCAAGATAAAATGGCAAAGCAGGCCGGATGTGGCCCATGGGCTGGAGTTTGGAGACCCCTGGGCTAGGCCAAGCTGCCCTCCTATAAAAAGAAACAGCAGTAGTTAAGGCCAGTGAGTCACAGATTTAACCAACTGGAAAACTGATAATAATTAATAATGCAATCTGCGGAAGCTAGTTGAAATAAAGGCCACAATTTAATTTGATTGAGATTCCTTTAAGTTATGATTTGGCCATTAAAAGTACCTTCCCAGCAGCTATTAAGAATATCTTCTTTCTACAACATTTACAGGCTACCTTTCTGTATTTGGTTTGTTGCATATTGAAAATTGTGACATTTGTGAGCGAACACAAATATAAACAATTGGGGACTTTCATAGAACAAACAAAAAAAAAGGTGCAAGCTCTTGGTGGCAGAGAAGTGAGGAAAAATATCCTTGTAGTGAGATTTTTCTGCACAAGATTTTTTTTTAACTGCTGAGAAGTCATATGAGATTTCTCAGACATGTTGTGATCATTTTCTTCTGGAAAGAATACCAAGGTGCTTAGGAGTATTACAGTTCTTGCACAGAATGGCATCTTTCCTGCACAGGATTCACTGGAAGAGACGCAGAGCAGCAAAAAATGTGGCAGTTTCCTACATAAAATTGGGATGTGGGGAGAGAGAAGGAGAACAAGAGCAGAGTGTCAAATTGGTGGGAAGCTGGGAGATTACATTGGGGCAGGAACAATTTTTGGTGGCATATTGAGGAAGTCTCCGCAGGGAGACCTGCTGTGATGAGATAAAGATCATTATTGCACTCCTTTTTATATTCTAAAATATTGGAAGTACTTGTCCCATTCCCACATGCAATGCATGCATGCTTTTAACAGCTAAACAGTTTGTTCTGTCTGCCTGCCTGCCTGCCTGCATGCCTGCCTGCCTGCCTGCCTGCCTGCCTGCCTGCTATCTATCTATCTATCTATCTACTTGAAAAGACCCAAAGTGACTTACATCGTTAAAAACAGCATTTAAATTCTAAAAACAGTATATAGATATTTAAAAAGAATTAAATAAGTTCTATATTAAAATGAGATATAATATCAGTATTGAAACACATTTAAAACAACAGAGCACAACCATCCATTAACCCACCTCCCTCAAACCACCAGTCATTAAGGAGAAGGCCTGTCTGAAAAGTCTTTGCCTGCCTACAGAAGGACAGCCTAGCTTCCTGTGGGAGGGAGTTCTCTGTCTGAAAAGTCTTTGCCTGCCTGCAGAAGGACAGCCTAGCTTCCTGTGGGAGGGAGTTCCAGAATCTGGATGCAGCGACAGAGAAGGCCTTCTCCCCTGTCTCCACCAAGCACACCTGTAAGGGTGGTGATGATCTTAATGCCTGGGCAGGCTCATAGAGGGAGATGCAGTCTTTTAAAAAGCTTTGGACCTAAGCCGTTTAGGGCTTTATAGGTTAAAACCAACACTTTGAATTGTTCGTGGAAACAGATCAGGAGCCAGTGGGACTGTTGTAACAGGAGTTATATGTTCCCTGTAACTAACCAGCCCCAGTTAACAATCTGGCTTTGCCATTTTGGACCCTATGAAGTTGCAAACACTTTCCCCACATAGTCCCATCCAGGACAAGCGGCAACCCTATTCCTGTTTCTGACTGACCAGGAGCACCTCTGTTTTGCCTAGATGTAGTTTTATTATTTATTTATTTATTTATTTATTTATTTATTTATTTATTTATTTATTTATTTATTTATTTATTTGTGTTGTAATTTGACTATTAATGAGCAACATTTTTGGAAGAAACATCAGCTTGGGGGGGGGAAAGAATACAACATTACTGTAAATTTAGGCAGAGACATACAAGGCTTTAGATATTATGTCCCATTCTGTTAATTTCCCTCATAATAACTGTACAAGTAAGGCATCAAATTATTCTTTTTGAAACAAGCCTTCATACTAAAAAGATGATGCTATTTTGTATGTGTCCGTACACAAAACCACTTGTGTGCAAAAACCACTTCCTGCTTTCTAACAGGATTTTGCTAATTCCTACAAGAAAATTTAGAACATAGTTACTTTTCTAAAATAAAGCTCAAGTAAAATGAAAACAACCACATGCAGCATCAACGGCAATTCCTTTTCCAGAGAGTAACCACCAATCTCCTTAATGTACTCTTTGGATCTGTTAAAGAAACCCGCAAAATATCTCCTAAAGAGTAAATGCTTGACCAAATGGAATAAAGCACAGAAAACCAGGCCGGCTGGGTAGAAAACAGACATGCCGAAAATTACATAGTAGCATGTCCAATTTAGAAAGGAGCACTCTTGGAACTATCTCAAGCAAGATTGTTAAATGACCACAGGTTACATGCTACACATACAGCTGACATACCACAGTATCATATTAGACCAGCTATTTCATAATGAAAGATACATAGTGTGATGCAGTGGACAGAATAATGGATTATGATTCAGAAGACCCCATTCAGCCATGGAAATTCATGATAGTGATGGTGGTGGTGAACTTGTAGAACTACTCCTTAAATATCTCCATTATGTTTAAAAGGTCACTATAAGCTTGTTCTATTTTGATGGCACATAACACACAACACTAGATGGGGTTGCACTCCCTCTGAAAACACAGGTGAACAACTTCAGGATGCTTCTGGATTTGTCTCTGAGCTTGGATGCCCAGGTTTTTTTGTCACAGTTAAAACAGTGCACAAGTTGTGCCAGTTCTGGAGAGCTCTGATCTGACCATGGTGATACATGCCCTAGTTATATCTAGTTATTTATTTATTTATTTATACCCTGCCTATCTGGCCTAATAGACCACTCTGGGCAGCTTAGTTTCAGTTTATCCACCCTCCTCCAGTCCATTATTGGCACCAGACACTGATTTAGAACCGAAGCAGCTTCCTTGGATTTAGATGGAAAGGAGAGATAGAGTTGGGTCTCATCAGCATACTGGTAACACCAAAATCCAAAAACTCCATACAACTTCTCTCAGTGGTTTTTCGTCGATGTTAAGTAGTATAGGGGACAAAACAGAACCCGAGGGAACACAACAGGCCAATGGCCAGGGTGTCACATGAAAGTCCCCCAGCACCACCCTCTGATTTCTCCCTTCCAGGAAGGACCAGAGCCACTGTAAAACAATGCCTCCAAATGCCGTCCCAGAGACATGGCCTAGAAGGATACCATGGTCTATAGTATCAAAAGCCACTGAGATGTCCAGCAAAACCAACAGGGGGACACTTCCCCGTCCAGTTCCCAGCACAGGGCATCCACAAAGGCAACCAAACCAGGACTGAAGCCAGATTGAAATTGCTCCAGATACAGTGGTGCCCCGCTTGACGATGTTAATTTGTTCCAGCAAAATCGTTGTAGAGCGAAAACATCAAACGAAATTTTAAAAAAACCCATTGAAACGCAAAAACTGGTTAATGTGTTCTAATGGGCGAAATACCTAATCGTCCAGCGAAGATCTTCCATATGGCGGCCATTTTCGGGTGCCTGTCTTGCGAAAAATGCCTCCTAAAAACATCAGGGAGCCATTTTGAGCAGACGGTGGCCATTTTGAAACCCAATGATCAGTTGTTTTGATCATCGTAATGCAAAGAATCGGTTCCCGAAGCAGGGAACCAATCATCGCAAAGCGAAAAAAACCCATTAAAATATCGTTTTGAAGCGGATTCATCGTTATAAGGGGTAATCATTAAGCGGGGCACGACTGTATCTGTTTTTGCTAGCCTTTCTTAAACGAAATTTTTTAAAAAACCCATTGAAACGCATTAAAACCTGGTTAATGCGTTCCAGTGAGCTGAATACCTGCTCGTCCAGCGAAGATCCTCCATATGGCGGCCATTTTTGGTGCCTGTATAGCGAGGAATCCGTCCTAAAAAACAGCGGGGAGCCATTTTGAAAGCCAGTGGCCATTTTGAAACCCGGCGATCAGCTGATTGCTGATCATCGTAAAGCAAAAAATCAGTTCCCGAAACAGGGAACCAATCAACATGAAGCAAAATCCCCCCTTTAAACATTGTTTTGTGATCGCAAAAGCGATCGCAAAAATGTCGACGTAATGTGGATTCATCGTAGAGTGGGGTAATCGTCCAGTGGGGCATGACTGTAATCTGTCTCATCCAGGAACATGCAATGATTTAATGGGACATATTAACAGATGAAATTTTAAAAAATCCTTAAAAATTCCTCCTTTGTGTACAGTGAACTCAGTTTGGTTCAATGAAAATGGAGATGTTTCTTTCTCAGCCTGTACACAAGCAGGGAAATACTTAAAGTTTTTTCCAACATTTGTATAGCTTTGGTAAATTAAAAATGAAATACTTTAATTTTTGCACAGAAATTAATATAGATTTAATAAAATCCTGGGCAATGGTATCATATATTCCTGAATGACTGCTATAATTGTACCAGCTGAAGCTCCCAAACATTTGGGTCAGCTTTGCAGTTTTGTCCAGTTCATTGCTACAAACTAGTCTCATTTTCTAAAGTCAGAATGAGTGCTTGTAGTTCTGACAATAAAACAAAACAGAGGAACAGAACTTTCTGGATGTATAGGTGAGGAGATTCCTCTTCATAGTAACCACTGAGATGCATATGTGTTAAAATTAGCAATTATATAAATGTTCTAAAATAGCTCTTGTATTTTCTTATACCCTGTAGTATAGTAAAGCCTAGTATATTATGAGAAATTGCCATTTCTTAGAAACTGTGGAGACACAAACTGTCCTCGTAACAAAGAAGGTATCATAATACAATTAAGACAGGCAGCTTCAGATCTGTCCATTGCTTGGACTGATGCCAGATACAAAGGAAATGTTACAAAACATCCTGTAAGGAGGAACTTCAAAGAAAGATTTTGTGGGATGAAAAACTTGAAAGGTTTGCCAGTTTTAATTACTTATTTAGGATGCCTGTGTAACCCTCTATAAAGCTCTCCCATACATTCTGCTTGTTGGATTTCTATACTTGCACCTTAGGGTGTGTATAGATTGATTTCCCTGCTTGCATTAAATGCTTTCCTGATACCTCGCAACTTAAGACATCTTGTGGCTGATTTCTTAGAGGAAAGTATCTGCATTTTTTGGTGTTCACATTAAGGAAAATTGCACAAATAATGTTTTAACACTGCACTTTAACAGGAATAATGTTACTGTTGCACCTTTGTTCCATGGAATTTTAAGTATTAGAAGTGCTGGAGGGGTGGCTTGCATCTTTTTTTAGCCCTTGGCCAGTCCTTTTGCGCTTATTGTGCTTCTCAAAGTAAAAGGATGTTAGTTTTGTGCAGAGCCATTTGCTGATATGCCGACATCAACAAGAAAAGAGATCTCTCCTCTTTTTATTTGCTTAGAACTAAGGAAACTCACAAGGATTCACAGTTTCCTTGTGCAAGTTTCTTCATTGAATGGAGACATCCTAATCAACCAGAAGTGAAGAATTTTGCAAACATTCTTTGCATCCCCAGATGGCAATGGTGATTATGGGGGGTGTCTTCCCATGGCTTAGAGCCTAGTTTCTCACCTCTCTATGTGCATTGGCTGTGTCAGTGAGAAAGAAGAACAGAAATAATGATTCACTCCCCTTCAGAGTTGGTTTTTGCTGTTTTACTTTGATCAGATACGCATTTGGAAATTACATTCTCCACTTGGAGTAGAAAACTTCTCCCACCCTGTCCCATACTATTCTTCCACAGAACTGAATTTTCTTTTTAACAGGAGAAACAGCAGAAAGTTTGATCTTGTACATTTCCTGATTATTTGATTAAGACATGGATTGATTCTAGATTGGCCAGCATCAAGAACTGGTTCTTTGCTTCCATTTCTTGTTTATCTTCTCCCATATTTTTTTCTGAGATACAAAAGAAACAAAGTCCTAGAAAAAAAATAATCCCAGTTTCTGTTGGAAGTTCAAAGAAGCCACTCTGAAACCTTCTGTACCACTACAGTGGCATAAGCTGATGCAATTAATAATGTTTCCTGTATCCTCCTTGCTCTGTGACCAGTAAGATGTTGTGTCTCATTATCCACATACACTCGTGCCCCGTTTAACGATTACCCCGCATTACGATGAATCTGCTTTATGATAATGTTTTTATGATCGCAATTGCGATTGCAAAACGATGGTCTAAATGGGGGAATTTTGCTTAGCGATGATCGGTTACCTGCTTCAGGAACCGATTTTTGCTTTATGACGATCAAAAACAGCTGATTGTCGGGTTTTCAGAATGGCCACTGGGTGCTTAAAATGGCTCCCTGCTGTGCTTAGGGATGGATTCCTCGCTATCCAGGCACCGAAAATGGCCACCGTATGGAGGATCTTCTCTGGATGGTGAGTTTTTAGCCCATTGGAACGCATTGAACGGTTTTCAATGCGTTTCAATGGGTTTTTAAATTTCGCTTTACGATGTTTTTGCTTAACAGTGATTTTACTGGAACGGATTGTCGTTGTTAAGCAAGGCACCACTGTACCAAACACATTCTTGATTACTCTCTTGCTTTCTAATGTTGATGGGGGCGGGAGTTTGTTTAGAGGGATAGATCACTGTTTTGTGGACTGTGAGCTGCATGTTGATACCACCTTCCATGATTCTCAGTGAGGAAAGGGAAAAACCTCCCTCTCTCTCTTTTTCCCCCATTTCTCAGAATGGACAGAAGAACACCCCCCTCTTGCTCCTCCTGCTGTTGCCAACCATGCTCCCAACAACCAAGAAACTGTTCGAGAACCTCCAGCTCAAGGTGAGTTGCTCTACAATTTAGTTACTTCATTACATGAAGAAAATGGGATTCTGACAATCTCGGTTATTTGTTTATCCCTTCCCCCTCAACCGCAAACTTGCAACAAGTCTTGCCCCACTCCATTGTTTCCACTGAATCACCCTATGCTTCCCACAGGTGGCCAGGTAACAGCACCTTTTCTTCCTGAGAAAAACTTGTCATGTGACACGTGTGGCAGCAGTACAAAGAGGACAGTGAAAGAAAAGTGAGAAAGGGCCATTTTCTTAGTGAGGGGTCCCGTTAAGCTCACAAAATAGGTGTCTTGCTCTTCTTTTGCCCCTCAATGACACTGAAGCTATAACAGTAATAAATTTCACATTTAGAGACATATTCAAATGCAGAAGACTGAAAAGACTAGCAACACAACAGAATACAGGAACAACAATGAACTATAGCTCCCAGCCAGTTAAACCTTCTTCCGCATCAAGGCAGCTTAAATGCCAAAGCCCTGATTGGCTCAAAAGATCTTTGCCTGCAGGTGGAAGGACAGCAGAGTGGGAGCTGGACTCATGGCCTCACCTGCAGGCAACTTCATCACTACCTGAAGTGGTACAAGGGGCTTTATAGGTCGTACCAATGAAAAGAGGAATCAGGAGAGGATGAGTTCTAGGCAATTGCGAACCAGTTAGCTTAGTATATTTCCAGGTAAGATAGTGGAAGATATTTTAAAATTGTTATACAGTGGCGCCTTGCATTACGACGTTAATTCATTCCAGCGAATTCGCTGTAGAACGAAAACATTGTAATGAGAAAATAAAAAACCCATGGAAACGCATTAAAACCTGTTTAATGCATTCCAGTGGGCTAAAAACTCACCATCCAGCGAAGATCCTCCATAGGGCAGCCATTTTCAGTGGCTGTCTTGCGAGGAATCCGGCCCAGAAAACAGACGGGAGTCATTTTATTTACCCGGCGGCCATTTTGAAACCACTGATTAGCTGTAGGAAAATCGTCGTTTTGTGAAGAATTGGTTCCCGAAGCAGGGAACCGATCATCGCAAAGCGAAAAAAGCCTATTCAGACCATCGTTTTGCGATCGCTAAAGTGATTGCAAAAACATCATCGTAATGCGGTTTCTTCGTAATGCGGTGCAATTGTAAAGGGGGGCACGACTGTATTTTTATCAGGACTATAAAGAGAATGAAGTCTTGCAGTAGAGGTTTTGAGGCCGTCTAAATTATCAAGCATCTAGAAAGACACTGCTGTAATGGTTTTGAAGCCTTATTATTTATTTAAAACATTTTCACCGTGCCTTTCTCTTTAAAAGGACCCTGTTTGGGTAGGCACCATGAAAGAAAATAGGGAACTTGCTGCTCTCAGGTGAAAGCAACTTCTGTTTGCCCGCCTTTCAGAAGGTTTAACACACTTGATACTGAGTTCATCGCCTCATTAAGCCATTTACATGGCTAGTTCAGCAAATGACAATCCACTAGAAAAATAACCATCTATTGACTTCAATTCTTTAAAAGATTATTGTTTGAATGAGAACTAAATTTCCAGCAACCTCATCCTGAAAATGGGAAATGAAATGAAAGCAGATTTGGAAGCAGGAAAAACATATGAAAACTTTGCACAGTTATATTTTTATTATTTTATTAACTTTTTCTTTCTTTTAATTTTTATTATAAGAAGGTACAAATTGTCACATTGCTAATGAATTTTAGATTAAAGCACTTCCTTCCAGTTTCATCCGGCCTGTTCATCTTCTTGCTTAGTGATTATCTCCTTTCTAAAACTTCTTGAGGCTATTAGCATCTCTTAAAGCCGTGATGTTCTGAGTCACCCTTAAGAGTCATGTTAAGTATCACTTTTGTCACTTTGTCTGATGTTCACAGTTATCTCCTTTGGGAAATACAAGACTGTCTTGTTTATTATATATTTATTTTATTTTTTAAAATAAACTTACGTAGAAGTTTAAAAGTTTACTTACTGCAATGTCTTATCAGTTTCCAGTTTTTAAATTATCCTAAGGAAAACAGTAAATAACCATGACGTCTCTCCCTTGTGAATGAATAGAATAGGTTCTAAAATTAAATGATTGAGATTTTGTTTATCCCTTCTTTTTGTTACATCTACACATTTTTCTAAATGTGTTACATGCTCGGAATCTCTTCCTCAGGTTTCAGCTCCATTTTCAGGTTTAGCTTAGCGGAGGTCAACTCTCTTGGTGACAGTGGACCTTCAGAACTCATAGAAAACACTATTTAAAAAGCTAGTGGGTTTTTAAACTATTATTACTCATGTTAGCAAATAGACATAGTTGGGAGGATGCATGCCTCAGTGTCTTCTACTTTAGGTGATATCAGATAATCCTTTTTTAAAATGTCTGAAAGAGATGTCGCACTGAAACTGATGGATCAGTGAGTTGGCTGACCTTAGCACAGTTTTATAGGTGTGTAAGTCTGCTGTACAAAAAAACACAATAAACAGATCAATATCATCATATTCTCTGTAATTGTACCAGTCTTATGGCCAGTAGTGTATGAATTCAAACATGGTCACATAAATATGTAATAGTTTGTGGAAGATCCTGAACAATGGACCATAAATATATCATAATGATTGTCATTACTCTTATTATCATATATGCATATAAAGTCAGCATCAAGGAATTTGCATATTAAAAAAATCTTTAAGTGCAGTGGAAGACATAATAACAGCACCCTGCATTGAAACAAGAACAATGTTACAATAAAAATTGGGGCTGAAATTATATATATTTTTTGTTCCGCACTTTATAATGAGGTTGTATATTACAATAGTATTTTGGTGTATTGCTGCTCGTTATTTTCTTACTGGATGGAATGTGTTAATTGCTCTAATTGAATTAGCCAAGGAGAGAAATTCACATAATGCATTTTATTTCTGATTGTTACTTGTCGTGGATGCACTCTGTATTTCCTAGGTGTTTTTACCTGTTTGAAATGGATAGCTCTTTGATGTTTCAAATCTTGTATTTATAGGTTGATTCCTTTCATTGGTGGGAAAAGTGGAAAACAGGAAAGAACTGTCCATCTTCTTTTTTTATCCTCTTTCGTCAAATATATAAATCACTGGATTTTTTTCTGCAGGGAAACCATTTTTCACACGGAACCCATCTGAACTGAAAGGAAAATTCATTCACACAAAATTAAGGAAAAGCAGTCGGGGGTTTGGTTTCACTGTTGTTGGTGGAGATGAACCAGATGAATTTCTTCAGATAAAGAGTTTGGTGCTTGATGGACCTGCAGCTCTAGATGGCAAAATGGAAACAGGTAGTTTTATAATTCTGAATGTTTTTAAAAATCATTGAAACTTAAGTAATATTAGCTCTTGAATGGCCAGTGTTACCCAGTGAGTAGATTTCTCAAGATTATTATTATTATTA